GGAAGACTGGCGCTCCCTACCCGTGGCTCCCTGTGTCCCGGAAGCCCTCCTTCTGGGGAACAATGAGGCCGGGAGTGAGCCGCCTGTCCAAAGACCGGTGCTCCCCGCCTGAGGCTCCCCTTGCGCTGGGGGCCCACCCTCCAGGAGCCACCAGGCAGGAAGCTAGCCAGCCGGAAGACTGGCGCTCCCCACCCGTGGCTCCCTGTGCGCCAGAAGCCCTCCTTCTGGGGAACGACGAGGCTGGGAGTGAGCCGCCGGTCAGAAGACCGGCGCTCCCCGCCCGAGGCTCCCCGTGCGCTGGGGGCCCACCCTCCGGCAGCCACCAGGCTGGAAGCTAGCCAGCCGGAAGACTGGCGCTCCCTGCCCGTGGCTCCCTGTGCGCCGGAAGCCCTCCTTCCGGGGAACGACCTATTTAATCCTTTATATATGAGCGTTAGATCATAGTATGATTTTAAAAATATACATAGTTCTAGTTCTATATGAAGAGCTTTTTTAAAAGAAAGCTTCCTCTTGTTTCTATCCACAAAACTATAATGAAAACTACTTTCAGAACCAAGAGATGCTTAAATATAGTATTGTTCTAGTGTCAATGTCAAGCCAAAGATTCTTTCTTAATATACACTGTATAAAGTCAGCTTAATTTGCTGATAGGAAATTTGATAACATGTTTAAAAAATGAAATTGTAACTCCTTATAGAAAGGTATTCATGGACGTCTCAAAAAACAAATCCAAAGTGATGTATGGAAAAGCATCATATATTTTAATTTCTCTGTACTTTTGACAGTTATTTATGCTCTGCTGAAAAGTAAAATGAATACATGGAACTATATTTTTTAACTTTGTTTATATTTTGGCTTTTGAGGGCCTAAAAGAACGGCAGCTACATTTAGATCAATAAATTGCTAATGAAAATGAAGCTGCTTTATTTGGCCCTGTGCTCCTGGAAGAGAAAAACCAACAGCAAGGAGACAACTATTTTTGCTTTGATTATGTATAAAATAAATCTTAGCATCTCAAAGGTGCAAAAACATTAAAAGTTGATAAATTTCAGTAGCAAAAGGGAAAGAAAAGTCGTTAAGGAAAAACAGAAAGCTTTCCTAGCTGTAAATTCTAAGGCAGATGTCTCAGTATGTTTATCATATACTCTAGACATTGATTAATGTGATGAACACATACTCAGACTTTCTAGTTTCATTGAAAATTTTTTAGAAAGTCAAAACATTTGAAAAACATTGAACTTGTGACATTAGGGAACAGTAAAGATGCTACTTTGACAGATTAAAGTCGTGCGATTCAGGAATGTTGCCTTCCATTGGCCTGATTCAGTCCAAGAACAGAACTCATCATTTGCAGAGGAATGGGTGCACAAACTATCACTCAGGCTGTATTTTCTAAAAACCACATTTTGTTTCCCTTAGGCTTGATAGGAAATGGAAAAGGATCAGTTGAAAATGTCCTTTGGCAGTGTTGGGAGAGCTTTATGTTCTGTTGTGCTGACTCTAGGAGGAAGTGTGCAAAGTGCTTCATATTAGTATAGCATACTAACTTAGACCTAGCCAGTATTTTTTACCCCTATTAAAGGTTTGCACCATCTTAGTACAGAAGTGTGTAGCAGGAATAATATAGACAAATCAAGGATTTTTCTGAGAAGCAGAGCAAGCATCTGCAGTATTCTCTGATGTGGCATGTAAGGCTTTCCAACGTCCTACCAGCATGAACAGTCCTGTGCTCACCTTAGGGTATGGAGTGGAGCGACTTATTGAATTGGGAGTGTTTGATACTGGACAGTGAGTAGGTGAGGAAAGGCTTCTAAGGCAAGTAGTCAAGCTTGGTTGTGGTTAATTGTTCATCTTAGCTGTGAAGTGAACTGTGACTCCAAGCTATAATGAACAAAAAACATGGTCAGTATGTAGAAAGTAATTGTTTACATTTACTGTGGCTGTTCAGATCTTTTTTTTTAAGCAGACCAATGTCTAACACATATTTCTTTTTGACCCCTGATGTCTGTAGACTGGTGGTGGTAACCTATGGCACTCATCCTGCAGTGTGCTGTTTGTTATAATTGAATGCTCTAAAAGGTTTGCCATCACTGCTATAGATTATTCATAGCTGTCTGTGTTTTTTCACTCTGATTCATTGGCCACCCATTTTATACTCAGAATTGTGGGCACAAAGAATAAAAATGAAAAGATAATCTTCAGAGATTATATTATGAGCAAACTCAAAATACAAAGAAATGTTGCCTAATTTCAGATTTAAGCTGGTTGTAGTATGTAACTCACAATGCTTACTTCATACTTGGTGAGGGTTGTACAAGCATTGAAATACTTTAAAGCATTTTGCAATCTTTCCATTCCATGTCCATTGGAATTTGTGAGAATAATTTTTATCATGGGTTAAATACCTACATAAATAAAATGTAACAGTCTTTTAATTACCTCAGAAGTACCTCATATCAAAATACTCTCTTTCAGTTGATGTCTCTGTTTGCCAAAGATCCCTGCTGATGGGCAGTTCATCTGCTGAAAGTCTCACAGTTCTTAATGTTTCAGTGAAACTTACTTTCTCAGAGGGTTTTCAGCCCTCCTATGGTAGAATAAGAGTTGACCACATCTTGTCTATTTGTTGTGTCAGGATAAAGTGCAGTTAACTCTTAAATAAATTTTAATTATGAAGAAAGGAAGAGGGAGATAATCTTTGGAGGTTAAGGAGATGGGGCATCTCATCGTATCCATCCTGAAACCCTGTACGCTGCAGTTAACCCTGAATGTAAACCTGGTCGTTCTGGTGTGCATGGGAGTCGGCGGAAAGGCGTCTCTGTAATTTTTCTTACATTCTCCTGTTCTTCCTAGAAGGAAACGTCCGGTGGAACAGGGAAAGCACAAAGGTTTTGGAATCAGGGGGAGATCTAACTTCTTTCTCCATGAACTTGGTCTGTGTTCTTCACATTAACTAAACTTTCTGCCTGTTGTGTGTTTCCTTACCAATAAAGTGGGACAGTGATCACTGTCACTCTTCAGCTCTACTGTAAGCAGAAGCCTGCAGAGAAGTTCCCCCCTGCATGTCTAATGATCTCTGAGTCCTCATTTTCTGAGCTCCTCAGAGTCAGTGCTTTTTCTGTTAGTAGCTCCTAAAAACTGCAAGCAGAGCCCGCAGCTTAGCCAGCTGTGCAGTGGTAGTCATGCTACAACTTCATGACTGATTTTAAAAGTGATACATGCTCAACTGAGACAACTTATAGGAAATAGAAAAAAGTAAAGTAGAAATTACTGTATCTATCGTTCCACAAGTCAAAGACACCTCTTAATTCTATATTTCTGCCTTTTATTTTTCTCTAATGTGTAGTTATTCTGCAAACGTGAATTTTGTCTTGCTCTGCTATAAGCTTTTACTTACAGATATCTCTTTGTGAGCATTTAATTGTTATATAGTATCTTGTTCTTTCATTTCTATTGGGCATTCAAATTGTCAGCAACTTTTTCTTTTTATATTAACTATTCTTGTTCATGTAGCTTTTTGTGTTTGGTTGACTGGTTGACCTTTCTTCCTCCCTCCTTTTTTCTTTTCTTTTCTCTTTTCCTCTTCCTCGTTCTCTTCCCTCCCTCCCTCCCTCTCTTTCTTTCTTTCTTTCTTTCTTTCTTTCTTTCTTTCTTTCTTTCTTTCTTTCTTTCTTTCTTTCTTTTTCTCTTTCTCTCTTTCTCTCTTTCTCTTTCTCTCTTTCTCTCTCTCCCTTTCTCGCTTTCTCCCTTTTTCTCTCTCTCTCTCTCTCTTTCTCTCTCTTTCTTTCTCTTTCTCTCCCTCTCTCTCTCTCCCTTTCTCCCTTTCTCCCTTTCTCTCTTTCTCTCTTTCTCTTTTCTTTCAAGGCAGGGTCTTATGTAATTCAGGTTGGCACTACCTGTGTAGCCCAGGCAGGCCTTAAACTTATAGCAATTCTCCTGCCTCAGCATGCCAAGAGCTGGGATTACTGATGTGCACTTGCCTATTTCTCCTTTTTTAAAAATACATTCTGGGAAGCAGAATTTGCTAAGGATGGAAAAGGTTATTGTTCTGTTTGTATTAAATATTTATTAAGTGATTATTTTATGTGGCACGGAACACAGCATTGAATGGTTGGTGGGTTCCTCATATTTGTAAGTATAAAAACCAAGGCTGACTGAGAGATAGATAGTCACCCAGAAAGTAAATGATAAACCTAGTTGTCTGAAATCTAATTATAATTCCCATTTGATCAGCTGAGGATTTCTTAGTTTTCCTGGCAGTTTCAGCTTCTTGAAGAACTTTTTTGACTATTGTATTCTTGTCCACTTTATGAACTGTTTTTTTTTTTTTTAAACATGGCTGTCAGCATGATGGAATACATCATGTCTTTAATTACATTTTGAAGTAAAGATTTCGTATGGTAGAATGGTGTCTTCAGAGAATCCAGTATGCGAGACAGGTTGCAATTTTACATTTTCAACGATGTTTCTCTACATTTTGAATTTTGTTTTAATTTATCCTTATTACTTTTTATGTAAAATAAACTCCTAAGGTTTTAGATTTCATTTGTCTTCCAATGACTAATTTTTTTTTTTTTTTTTTATAGAAATCTTCTTCCTATTACTCACGTGTATATAGAAGAAGGAGAAAAGCCCATGGTGATGCTGCCTTACATGAATTGGGGGAATCTTAAATTGTTTTTACGGCAGTGCAAATTAGTAGAGGCCAATAATCCACAGGTGAGAAAAATTTGCCCACATACCAGTTACTAGTAATTTGTGATAGTTTCTTATATATAAACTGTTTAAAGACCTGCACAAAGAAAATCCAAAGGAATTGTAAGAATTTTACATGTGGATTTAGAGGAAAATGAGATGGTTTATGATTCCTATCTTGAGCCTTATACTTGGCTAACACCAAGGTTTTTCCATATGTTTTTATTGCGTATTTATTCTAATTACCCCACATTTTCTATGACACTGTCTCAGTCATTTTCCTGATACCTCTTTGAAAGCCCTTATCCTAGATCTGCCTTCCAGGAGTGGAAACAAATTGTACAGAGGCGTTTGGTCCCTATTGTACGAAAAGCAGGTGATGACTGAGGGCTGAACTGTGGGACGTGATTGGATGTGTTCCTGATCGGTGTGGCTGTGAGATGGCAGTTGTCTAAGCATTTCTTTCTTGTCACTGCCTTTGCACTTAGCTGTGAAGCACCGATCGGGTTCCTAACATGTTAGGGTGATAATGGCAGTAAAGCCTACTAGGTTTTGCCATCCGCCCGATTACGGAGCCTCATTTTATTTGGTTTTAAGATTTATAATAATAGACTCACTTACTTTGAGAACATATAAGTGAGGCTGCATTGAGTGTGTGGCTTAATATGTGTGATGTTTGTGAACTGACAGGATTAAAGCTCCAACAAGTGGTTGGAGGCAATGGCCCATCAGTGTCCCCTGCGTAAAAATTTCATGCTTCAGCCCACAGCCCCGGCCCACAGCTAGAAGAGAGTGTCAGTAGAGAGAGCTGTAGACTAAGTATTAGTTTAAAAGTGATTTTTTAGAGGATAATCTAATAAAACTACTGTTTTTACATACGAGAACAACTTAAAAATTTGAAATATTACCTTGAGAATTTAACATTCATGGACACGCACTGAATAGTTACTTTATGTTTGATGTCAGAGAGATACAGCTAATGAACAAGAGGAGAGGGGCCCGTAAAAACTCCTTCAGAGTGAAGACTGCAGTTGATACAAGTACAATATAGGGAACTGTGGGAACAGATTCATTTAAAAATAGCTTTTTAAAACTCAGTAGATGGAAAGAAGTATTTTTCAATGAAGTAGGATGGTGGAAGAAAACAGCTACCTCCTAAGTTTTGTGCTGTCTGCAAACCTTGTCATTTTTCTGTCACTGCAGGCAATCTCTCAGCAAGACCTGGTACATATGGCTATTCAGATTGCCTGTGGGATGAGCTACCTGGCAAGAAGGGAAGTCATCCACAAAGACCTGGCTGCTAGAAACTGTGTGTAGGTGCCATGAGCTCATCACTGTCACTTGATGGGTAGTACTCCCTGGATTTGGGGTTCTCTCCCAGAACTTGTGTTGTACTTAATAGTAAAAGGCGATCCATGCTTCTTAACGCCCTGATGGCATTCGGTGTTCGTGTTTTTTACTTTTCAGCATTGATGACACACTTCAAGTTAAGATCACAGACAACGCCCTCTCCAGAGACTTGTTCCCTATGGACTATCACTGTCTGGGGGACAACGAAAACAGGCCAGTTCGATGGATGGCTCTTGAAAGTCTGGTTAATAATGAGTTCTCTAGCGCTAGTGATGTGGTAAGTGCCGGGACTGATTTTCCTATCTCTTGCCTACCATACTTTATTATTGTAGCTCTATATTTAGAAATTAGATTAGATTTCATTTGTGAGGGTTCCCCTATATGCTCACCCAGTGATGATCTATGTGTATTGCTTGTAAAAGCTCAAGTTACTTCAGAGTTTCAACTTTGAGATTTAAGTTTACTGTATCATTATATCTTATGTCTTGGTATATTTTATTTATATAGTAATTTAGTGTTAGTTTTTTATTACAGAGTGTGTATGCTCTAAGTATTCATCTTTTAGTAATACATTACTAGTATTAGTTATACTAATTGACTATACTAATTAATATAATTGATTATTTACATTAATTAGTGTATAATCTTTTTCTCAGTGTATTATACTTTTTCTTTGGCTGCCGTGCCAAATTGCTACAACTTCAGTGTCTTAAAGCAGTGGTGAATTGTTTTCTCACAGTCCGATCCCCAGGCCAAATATTTAAAGTGAAAGTGTGGGCATGCTCCCTCCAGACGCTCTGGGGAGAAACTCTCCTTGCCTTTCCCACTTTCCTGTGGCTGCCGCTGTTTGTTGGCTTGTGGTTCTCTCTTTCCTGTTCTGCGTTTTTATTACCTTCTCATTTATGTGTCTTTCAAAACTCCTAGTGTTTCTCTTACAAAGATGACAATGAGGGCATTTTGGACCTGCCTACATAATCCATAATAAACTCCTCAAGGTCTTTAATCAGATTTTTTGCAATGTTATATTTCTGTTATACCTTTTATATAATTTGTAATAAACATTTTATTATATACATTTTGCCAAGGTGGTATTTCCAGGTTTCATAGGTTAGGACAAGGGCCTACCTTTGAAGCTACCATTCAGCCCACCATACTCAATCATTGAAATTATCAAAGATTTCCTTATTAAATGCTAATGCTCCAATTTAAAATCCTTGAAATGAGAATAATTTGATATGAAGGGAACTCACTTATTAATTATAATTAGTTTTTCCCTTCATAAGCTACATGCTGTTTAGTACACTGCTCCTTTTATATACCAAGTTTCTTGATAAAATGTGTTTAATTGATGTGAATAAACAATTTAGGTTTTTCTAAGCTTGTTTTTCTGATAGTTAAGGTCTTTCATTGTGTGTATCTTCAGAATACTTTGTTTTAATTTAAAATTAGCTATTTTTTATTAAAAAAACTTGATACTTAAAATGAGCACAGTAAATATGAGTGATTATGAGAAGGGCTGTTACTTGCTTCATGGAGCACCCACAGAGATTAACCAACTTCACAGGGTTACTCATAGAGTCTCCTAGCCAGAGAGGCATGGGCATGCCAGGGAATGGGTGGGAGGGTGAAGTCAGTATATCCAGGTTCTTCTTAGGTACAGGACTGTAAGGCTTCAGCCTGTGTAGTAGTGGCAAGCTAAGTTTAGTCTGTTTTTCTAGAGCTTTGATGATAAAGTAAAACTTTTCTAACAGTAATATCTGGAAGGTAAAACAAGTAAAGTGATTCAAATATGCAAAACAACTTAGAGTTCTAATGATTATCCAGAGTGAATGTAGGCCTTTTTGTTGGCCGGGGGGAGGGGGGGGCATTTTTCTGTTGCAATTTTGATATTCCCATATAATATCCAAAGGGAAAGCAGAATTGGATTTTAGGTCAGTATACTGCTGTTATGTTGAATAACAGACAGTACAGAGTAGGTATACTCTCTGATAAGATAGTTGGTTTTAGACTTGCCTTATTTTTATTCAGAAATTCTGAATTGTAGCTGGAATTGTTTAGTAGTTTCTGCATTAAGCAAAGTTATTTTCACAGGGGAAACATATTAAGCTTTCATTTTAGGAACATAGTTTCAGAATGTTATCAGTTGAAATAGAGCAGTGTCGTTTTCAAATCTGCCCCTTTAGCCTAAATCCAAACAGTTCTGAATGCAGAAAAAAGTGTGTGCTGCCAACAAGAGCACTGGTTGAAAAAATGGAAAAGAAACTTTTCTCAGTGTTTATTTTATTTTTGGGCTTTTTGTTTTGTTTTTTTAGAGACAGCATTTCACCAGCACACTGGTCTTAAACTCATATAGCCGTGGCTGGCCTGAAACTCGGAGCAATCCTCCTGCCTCAGCTTTCTGAGTGCTATCACAGTGTTTATTTTGAAAATCTCGGGGCTGGGGATTTAGCTCAGCGGCAAAAGCGCCTGCCTGGCAAGCGCAAGGTCGTGAGTTCGGTTCCCGGTACCTGAGAAAAAAAAAAAAAAAAGAAAATCTCATTCTATCACTGATTTAAAATACAAATTTTCTCATCTCTTTATAATGTTATTATTTTTCCAGTGTTGGACTGAAATTTATAATTGTTATTGTTACTCACTAAAATGTAGTATAATTGCCTTTCCCAAAATGAAATGGCAGTTGTGGTGAAGCAGAAAGTATTTAATGGGAAGAAAAAAGAAGATATTTTTAGGTGACAATCTGTAAATATGTCATATAATTTTAAGACATAATTTCAAAAGATATGGGAGTTTTTAATTAGTTATTCCCTTAGAAAAAGGCACATAGTCAGCTAATACTTTAGAGAAGTATGTAAGATGTCCAGTAAGTGCTGTTTGCATAGTGGACAGTGTCAGAGTATGCGTTGCTTAATTAATGTGTGTTTGTTTTTGTGTCAGGGGCCTGTTATATAATTTTAAAACGATAGGATTTTTGAAAACACAAATGATTAAATATATTTTAGGAGCTCCACAATGGAAATCAAATTACATTTTCTACTTTCAACAAATGAGATTATAGTAACATTGCATATTTAAGAAGTGTGAATGAACGTCTCATCAGCTGAGTAGACTGCTCTGTGTTAACATAACATCTGTGTTGACGATATATGTTTCAGTTTGGCAAAGCATTTCAAAATCATAGTTAGAATTTTTATGGTTATGACATTTTATAAATTTTATAAGAATTCATACGTTTTACATAAGACTCTGGCTGTTAGTATGCAGTACTGTCAAATACTTCGTTGCTTCTACTTTGACAGCTTTATTTTTTAACAATAGCCGTGAATTAGTGGTGAGCAACCCAAGAGAATTCTTTACACTCCTAATTACTTTTAGCATGTCATGATTTAATTTACATGAGGTGTCTGTGTGACCCAGATTATTCTCAACTGTAACTCATTTTCCTGAAATGGAAGAAGTACCCCTCAGTTTACATTTAATGTGGTTAACTACTAAGATGTTCAAATTTCTTTTTAAATCATTATAAGTTTATTTTGTGCACACACAGAGAAGTGTCTTTTTGCTTCAGATAATTGAGATTAAGTTGTATCTTTCTGTTTCCTATAACTATGATGTGACTGTTAGTGCAAAAGTCCTACCCTTCAGTTTGGGGCTTGAAAATTTTTTTTGAGTTCTTAGATTATGTTTAAAACACAAATATTAAAGTTACGTTTTAACATTTAGATGATCGTATTAACACTTCAGTGAACTTGATCATTATGCTGTGTTTCCACTTTGCCTTATAAACATAGTTGGGGGTTTAGAAGTTTCATCTGATACTCTTTTTGAGGGCTGAACAACTTTTGCAGTTATATGATAATAAGAAATTCGACCCTAATCTCACCAGAGTCTTACTATGCACATGTAAAACACATGTAAAACACATCCTTTTAGGTGTAAACATAGCATCCAACTAATGGAATTTAATCTTGGAAAGAACATTTTCTCTGTCCTTTAAAATACTCAGTATTTTTGCATTTTTTTGTAGTTAAAATTTCTGTATGATTTGTTTAGAAATATATTAATATTTTCTATCTTAAAAATAGTACATCTGGGCTTTGTTCTCATAATTTTTACTGGAAGGAGTCAATATTTCACTGTGTCAAGATTCTCATTCTGTTAACATCAACTTAAATGTTGAGTTGAGGAAATCTGCCCAACTACAGCATGACTAGATTTGGCTACTTATAAATGTCTTTCTAGTGTTGTTCCAAGGTGTGACATCATCATAGACATTCTTGAGAATGTCTGCATATTGTTTTTAGTCTGTTTTCATCAGATGTAAGCATCACCATAGACTTTTTATGTGACTTTCTTTTCCTTTATTTGAAAACAGATTTCTTGATTTATATCTTCGTTGAATTACTTTACTAATTATAGTAGTTAACATAATTCAGCTGTTAAGATACTAGCTCCTATTGAAAGACTAAATGCAATCAAGAGCACACAGTTAAAAGTTTCTTTCTTATTGATGTTCTTAAAAAACAAGTCAAGGAAATGATTTCCATACTAATTTTATCAGGGTGGTTTATGGCAATGAAGAGATCCTTTTCAAGGTATTTGCGCAGTTTTAGGGTATAGGGCAAATAAAAATGTGTCCCTTGTACTTATATTGTTTATTTGTGGACATAAGTGATAACCCAGGAGAGAAGTCTGGGTTGAAGCACATTGCTTCATATTACTCCTCTTTACCCGCTGTTGTCAGAAGGTCATTGCCATGTCCTGAGCAAACTTAATCAGGAAACCTTCACATTTATAATATGCCCATGAAGGGTGGTCTGTTGAATTAGTATGGTGTCAAAGAGAAAGCTAGAGTCATCAGAGGATGTTTATTATTTTTAACAATAGAGAAAACTTTGTTTTATACTCTGCATCATTAATTTACAATAATTAAATTCCTAGCCATTACTTGCTTCCTTTATGGTTGCAGACTTTATGAGTCAGCAGTCTTGCACCTATTATTTAAGTATTAAGTTTACAATAAGAAAAATTAATATTAAAGACAGTAAGAAAAATCTAGAGGTGAAAAGATAATTTTAGACCTTAGTTTAGGAAATAAAGATTTAACATTATTAATGTTAAGAACAAATTTAGTTTTATCAAATAATATTTTAATTGTCCTGATTACATGGACTTACTGTAGGAATAATTAATGTATTTTCAGAAATGAGCAGTTGCCATTTTGTGACTGAGTATATTTTCTGTAGTTGTCCTAATATTACATTCCTTTAGAGTCTTACT